TTTGGCTAACCAAAATGGGACGGGGGGAGTATTGAAAAGTGTATACAAGTTATTGTTATGAAAAAATCACTCATGTATGTATATCAAATGTAAGGTCACTATTGAAATGTATTGTTGAAATTAATCCAACATGAAATAGTAAATATAAATATAAAAGTGTATGAATGCTCTAATTTTACGTGGAAACCCGAAAGAGAGAAAACCACAGCACTTTTTGGGCTAATGTCCAAATCACTCTCTTTCTATTAATACTCTCCTCATCATTATTGTTGCATAATACAAGCTTCCATTAAAGGAGTTGTTAATACTAGTCTAGAGAGATGGAGGAGGGTGGAGAAGAAATGAACTAACTAGAGAGAGAAACAGGAGTCCTAAATATATCGGGAATCCTCTTATTTATAGAGAAAGGGGGAGGTAGTAAAATCTACCATAATGGGCCACACTGATTGGGCTTCGTACGGAGATAATGAATTGGGCTTCCGGAATAATAGTAGACAAAGATAATATATCCCAACAATCTTGATATTCAATTACTCTTGTATCTTCATTCACATTGTGAGAGAAAATGGGTGGAGAAAAAAGATGGCCAACTAACTCCGATTCCAAATGAGAAAGGTGTTAACATTTTTTCTATTATTCAAATATGTCAAGTTATCAAAAGTGGTAAGTTTTTTTGAGAGACAAACAAGTAATGAAAGATAACTTTTGTGGAGTATATTGCTTCCAAGCAACCCATTCAAGTTCATTATCTTGGTATATGGCATTTTCAAATAAATGAGATGATATTGGACAAAAGTTCCAAATAACGGTTGAAGAATAGAATAGATTTACATAGAACATGGGAGGTTGAGATTGTACGGTTGAAGTTCTTGAAGGTGATATGAGAAATACAATTCTAAGATAGATTCCACTTAACAAAAGTGGAAGTGCACACTCCATCAATCAAATTTAATAATATGTGTGATTTTATGGTTTTGTTTATAGAGGAGTAACAAAAACTCATAAAGGAACACAATTTGTTGCCGCACAAGACTAACATGCTTTTCTAGTTGAGCATTAAATGGATTTTGATTCAAACTTTTACGCAATGTTGTTGATAGAGTATATGGGTTCCGGCTCACGACCCACATACTCTTGAAGACACGCCGGCCCAAGTTTGAAAAAGCCGCCACGATTCGAATGTCCACCTTGGCTCAGCTTGAAGAGGGTCATAAACAAATTCAATGTTGGGTCCACATCGATATCCATACAAAGAAGAAGGAAACAGATAATAAGGGCGTAACAGTTGGGTGAAAACTAAGCCGATTGAAGACCGGTGTAGTCTAGGTACTTAAGAAGATACGGGTGGCGGAGAGACCTCAAGCCCTTGGAGATGTAGAAAGTAAAGGCCTCAAAGTACCCCTTCGGCAGGGTGAGCACGTTATCTGTTGGCCTCAGTTCTCGCACCCTTGCGTGTGGCCCCACGAACATCTAGATAATATGCAGATCACACTCTCTGTTGTCAAGGCGGATGATTAGCGGAGCCGGTCTACGATTCCTCGGTTCTTAGGTTGAGGCATCTCGGCTCCTCTTATAGCAAAAATTGTGGAATGGAAAGGGAATGGTGCCGAAGCGGAAGGCTCGCCTTGCTCTTGCACTGTGGCTGCTCTGGAAGACTCCACCTCCTTCTCATCATCGAATTCACTCATATTGTCAATTTCGGCACCAAACTCCTCTACAAGGTGAAAGGGGACTTTCGTCTTCTCCACCCCACTGTCCGATTCAGAGACATAGTACTCCTCAGACTCATATTTTGCGGGTGGGATCTCAGATATATCTTGGGAATCAGACGGTGACATTGCTAACAATCTACATTTAGCGGTTAAAGATCAAGGGACAGTTCCTCACTAACACCTAATCTACGACTCAAGAAACAAACTATATCAAAATGATGAAGAACAGATGAAGAACCAACCTTGAAGGTTTGAAGATCGGCAAAGAACATAAAAGGTTTTTCTCTCTAGAAAATTCAACAACACTTTATCTAAAACTTAGGAAAGTGTAAAAACATGAATGAAGCAAAGGGGGTATTTATAGGCACAATAATGAATACGTCTCAATGGTCGTTACACGTTTCAACACACCGTTTGCCTCTCAGTCCAATCGAAGCGTCCACTAGAATTCCGACCAATAAGGGCACACCACCTGGCACAATGAGTATATGCAACGACACACCTATATATAATGACACACCACCTGCCTCTCAGTCAAACAAGCAGTTTTGGAAGCACACCGGCCTCACGTAATGGTGCACCACGATTTTCCTCAAACATTGAAGTCCAATACTTTAAACTATCACCTGAGCATCTCACGCACAAGACCACAATGGACTCGGGTTAGTTGCATCACTTCGAAAAATGACACTTAACCGTACAACACCCATAGGACCTCAGGTACAATTCTTATCTAAGAACGCCAGCTCAAGCCCCTCGAATTAAACACGTCAGTGATGGCTTTTAGCCAGCGACCTTCGTACAAGGATTCTCCCAAAGGGTTGCCTTGTTCAGGGGTTCGCCAAAGAGATTGCATCCCCTGTCCAGTTCATAGGTGGCACCTCAGCACACAACTTTCTACTCCTCAAACCAAAGTTTCCTCTCGGCTTCAGGACTAGGGATTGGGAGACTACACGTCATCTCGAATACATAAAAGCGCAAAACAACAACGTCCTCATCAACAAAAGATCGTTACATCTCAGCCAAACTCGTTAAAACACAAAAACAAAAATAAACGATCAAAAGCAGGAAGCTCTACTCGCTTTCACCTCAAGACTCTCGTCTCGGAGATTGGGGGCTCCATATAGAGTATATGGGCTCATCCCTAAGGCCCACATACTCTTGAATATATATAGGCCCAAGTCCATCTAATTAATCCACATACCTCATCTGGGCACCCTCTACCAAATGAGGACACACACACAAAAAGTGCAGCTGAAGTCACCGAAAGTCATTAGAATACTGAATCAGGACCGTTGTCCGTATTAGTCACCTCAACTAGCGATACCTCATCCAGGACCATCAGAGTATTGGGGGGCTCCATATAGAGTATATGGGATCGGCCCTAAGGCCCACGTACTCTTGAATATACATAGGCCCAAGTCCATCTAATTAATCCACATACCTCATCTGGGCACCCTCTACCAAATGAGGACACACAAAAAAAAGAGCAGCTGAAGTCACCGAAAGTCATCAGAATACTGAATCAGGACCGTTGTCCGCATTAGTCACCTCGGCTAGTGATACCTTGTCCAGGACCAACAGAGCATTCAAGACAGAATCACTCGGGTATAGGGAAACCACCAAGGACGATGAACACAAGCACCTTGTCCAATAGAAGACATCCACTTAGGAATCGGTTAAGGAATGACACACGTCGCTCTCTAAATCGTCACAAGGCTGTCGCCCATAGAATAACATACACATGTACGTGCATTTAATGCACCACTCATTTATTACTAGTATAAATACCCTCATTGGGAAGATGTAAAAGGTTTGAATCTCATTTAATTAAAGTTGTTTTGGCTTTACCTAAATAGACTAGTCTTTTTATTAGTTAATCATAAAGAATGGAATCTCAAAGTTTTCTTACGTTTTTCTGAGTTGGATTGTTAGTTTTTGCCATTAACCGAAATAGAAAAAGAAGCTGTCGAAATGCACTCCATAATCCAATCAATAAAACGGGTGGGAAACTTTTAGCCCCTAAGGACCTCATAGAGAAAGTCCCATGAAACCGTGTGATAAGCTTTACGAGTGTCTACCTTAATCGTGCACCTAGGAGATATCGAGCGTCTTGAGTATCCTCTAATAAGTTCTTGTGCAAGAAATATGTTATCAAAAATCATGCGACCATCCACAAAAGCACCTTGTGCTAGATCAACCAATCCCAGGAGACAAGGTGCTAACCTAGATGCAATAATCTTGGTAATGACTTTGTAAATGACGTTAGTGCATGCAATGGGTCTAAAATCGGATACCTTGGGAGAGTGATTCGTTTTGAGGGTTAAAGCAATAACCGTATGGTTAGTTTGCTTTAGTAGCCATCCTGAATCGAAGAATTTCCTAATGGCCTTGATCATATCCTCCCCAATCACACTCCATTTTTTTTTTTAAAAAAGCAGAAGAATAGCCATCGTGACCGGGGGCCTTATCATTCCCAATATCAAAACTTGCATTTTTAATTTTCGCATTGGTGATATGGCATGTAAGGCCATCAACCAAGGACGGGTCAAGGCCTCTTCCGTGGCTAAAAACCTCTGGTTGTATCGGATCACAAGTAATAGGGGTACCAAACAATGAAGTAAAGAAAGTAACATGCATGTTGGTCACCTCATCCAAGAGATTTTGTTAATGTACTATCCTCCAAAGTGAATGAGGTGATAGCATTTCGTGTATTCTTCTTTTTTATCAAGGCATGAAAATATTTGGTACCCTTGTCCGTTTTGAGGATATGATTGGCTTTGGCCTTTTGTTGGTAGAAAGAGGACTCGGCTTCTAAGAGGAAGTGTGCCCTTTTCCTTGCATTTGTGAGTTGGTGCTTAAGGTCCACATCCGAAGGGGACAAAAGTGAAAGGCCTTGCACCCTCTTAAATTCCAGTTTTGCTTCCTTCACCTTGTGTGAGATATGTCCAAATTCCAGTCTATTTAACTCTTTAAAAGGCTGTTTAAGCCTCTTGAGGTTTTTTAGCAAGAATGAATTGCATCATCTCATCCACTAGCTGAGCCCAATTGCCCAAACCTACTCTAGAACATTCCCAAAGTCTTTGTGGTCTAGCCACATGCTAAAATTTTTAGACGATCTCACTTCCAGAGTAAGGTATTGTCCAAGTGAGATCAATGCAGCGGCATGGTCAAACTGTCAAAGTTTGGCCCAATGTCCCCAAAGTTCGTCTTGACATGAATACCATTAAGGCTGCAAGTTCCATAAATGAGAATCAAGTTTTAAGATGTCATGTGATAGTGCATCATCCCAACCACGATATTGATCATCTTAGTGTGCTTTGATATGATTATCATAATCAGAATTTATAATGCAACATCCTTGATACTTTTCAATATGAAAGTCTAGTAACATCATATCTAGCAACACCATATTATGTATATATCCAAGAATTGTTCAAGAAAAAAAGTACATATATTCGAATTTATTTATTTATAGAAGATTAGAAGATGAATCAGATCAGATGGTGACACTATTAGGAACACCTCTACAGGTAACCCCTGGTGGAGAGCTGGGAGCAAGAAGTTCATAAGGTATAACACCAGCACCACACCTATTCTTCAGCCTCTGGTCACTGTTCCTCCGCTCAATCTCCTCCTCTATCTCTGCAATATCCGCCGACAGCTCATAGAACGCCTCCACCATAGCGGCATCCGAGGTCCACGTCGAAGGATGCGGTCTCTCCCCCAAGTACTCCTCGTCCGGCGAATGTGTCGACAGCGTGTCAATTACGGCGATCAGCTTCGTCGCGTCCAGCTTGCTCGGCAGAGCCTTGAAGAAGTACGCTTCCGGGTCAGCTACGAACCCAGCGTACTCCGGGTCATTCTCGTCCGGGATGAGCCGGCGCATGAGAGTCGGCCGGTTCGGCATGTACCCGCCGTAGGGGTACTGCCCGAAGTTCAGGGCGGCGTGTTGGGCGGAGGAGAGCCAGATGATGGTGGTGAGGATGGAGGAGAGGTCCGCCGGGGAGGCTAGGGTCGGCCACCAGTCGGCGTTGCGGAGGTCGGCGTGGCCGACGTTGATGGACTCGGAGTACCATGCCTGAAGCTCCCGGTCGTTGCAGACGCGGTCGGAATCTGGGTAGTAATGGTTGACGTAGGTGGTTACCCATTTTTGAATGGCCTCCCAAATTAAGAGACCGTCGGCGGCGTAAGGATAGTCCTCTATTAAAAGCTTCAGTCCATGTGGCTGTGTTGGGTCTGGGACTGCCATTCCTCTGAAAAACAAAAATTTTACAATCAACCCAAAACAAGTAGAATGGCCCACCCAAATGTCCTACAACCGACTATGTTCAATAAAAACCCTCAAAGAATTTTCTTAAAAAAAAATTAAATAAACAATTATTTTAATCTTCTTAAGGAAAGTTTCCAAAATAGAAGTAAACAAGTTTTGGATTTTAATTGGACTGTTTCCGGTCCCAGAAGAAACCATATCAAACCAAATCAGAGCAAATTTGAACAGACCAAGTCAACCAGATCAGAAGTGGACAGTTATAAAATACATAGGGACCAGACATTTATCGGACTAGACTTAAATAGAGTAAACCAGACTAACAAATTTCAGTCTAAAAGAAAACATCCTAAGACTATGATTTTTCCCGAATAGAAATAACATGGTAGTATTTTCTACGATAAATAATTGCACAACTAAGCATTAACATGGTAAATGCTTATCGGACTCCTATTTAAGAAAAAAGAAACATAACAGTTACTCCCGTTTTATTTTGGAAAAGCAAAAGCTTACACGTAATATTTATATTGCATGTTAACATATAAAGCATTGGACAAGATTTTTGGATTCCATCATCTATTTACTTAACTCTTATATGATGTCGATGAACATTCCATTTATTGTTTGCCATGTGTCAAAATTTATTCAATGTTAACAATGTGACATTTAAACAAACATCACATCACATCACATCACATGTGTTACAAATCCACAAAAAAATCTCGATGATGAAGTTTATTTAAAGAGAAATGAAGGAACTTTTGAAATTGCCCGACACAATTTCTTATGTGTGTGTGTTAAATAATGCTGTAATTTTTAGGGAAAAGTATGGAAAAAGTATTTGTGGTTGAGCTCATTTTCAGATAGGGTCATGTGTTTCATTCTTTATCAAAGTGGTTCATGTGTTTGAATTCCGTTATCACAAGAGGGTCACGCCGTTAAAAACGTCTGAAAAGGACCGTTAAAAATAACTTCGATTTTCAAAAGTGTCCGAAAAATTAAAAGAAAATACCGGAAGGTGTGCCTCAATAAGACGACCGCTAGGCCATCTTTCTTTTTTGTTATCGGCCACCATTGTCACCGGAAAGTCCATCGGAAAAGTGATATTAGCGAAATCATTTTTAAAAAATAATTCAAACAGATCTGAAAAATCCAAAGGCGAAGGTGGTTTGGATGTCATCTTGACGAGGCGCACCTTTCGGTATTTTTCTTTTAATTTTTCAGACACTTTTGAAAATCGAATTTACTTTTAACGGTCTTTTTCAGACGTTTTTAACGGCGTGACCCTCTTGTGATAACGGAATTCAAACACATGAACTACTTTGATAAAGAATGAAACACATGACCCTATCTGAAAACGGGCTCAACCACAAGTACTTTTTTCGTACTTTCCCCTAATTTTTAAGATACAAACTGCTGGCTGCTGTCTTCTGTCTTCCTTAGTGGACTCGGTCCAGCCGTCCAGGCAAAAGTTTTAACAACGTAAAAATTATGAATAATGACTTTTAATGTCAAAATTTATTATAAATATTGTTAGAGTCATCAACTATACCCGTTTCAAGCTTGACTAAACATGAATCCCATGGGAAATTGACTTTTAGGATTAAATAAATATTTGCATGATATTAAAATAATATTGAAACATGTGTCGGGAACTTTACAAAATTCAATAATTAAATTGATTGTGGGTATTTTCTGTGATTTAATTTTTTTGTTGGTATTAAGAAAATAATTTGAATGAATTTAAATACGAGTATGCATCTAGAGTAGAGACAAATGGAAGAGTAGGCATTTTAAATGTCGTCTTTGTGTAGGACATAACACGCTTAAAAACGTGTGTTCAAAATGGACATGTGTTAAACAAATGTCTTCACTAATTGGAAACATATCACCCTCAAACAAAGAGTTTAATAAATAAACTTTGACTATTTTGGCTTTCAACTTTCCCTTCCAATTCCCTATAATTCAAGACCTAATCAAACACATTTATTTCGACGGTCAATGTGTTTCTCCCGTCACAACTATTCTTGTAGACGGTAAAGAAACCATAAATTACAATATACTAGTACATGACATACTATATGTGAAATTATAAATAGACACTTACATTATAGAATTTAACCATGTTTTTTTGTAACATATGTGGTAAATTATGTTTCCTCTAGCATTAATTACATATAACATTTTCCTATATTTTTTAGATTTTTAGATATTATTAAACATGTACTTAATTATAACGTAAAGGATTATTAGCTTATTTTATCCCAAACTATCATCAAATTCACAAATCGATCATATTCTTTCACTTTTATAAAAAAAACTCAAACTTCATCCTTTTCAACAATTATGCTTTTCTTTTTTGTTTTATCAAAATTACACATTTTTATCAATACCAATTAGATATAAGCAATACAAATTACTAAACTTGAAACTAGAAACAAGTGAAAAATATGAAATATGAATATGATTTTCTTCGTAATTTTTACTAATCATCCATTGAAAGTGTAATTGTGAGAAAGTATGGGATAAATTTGTTAATTTGTTGATAGTTGGAGATATATTTAGCTATTTATTGTGAACATTAATACATGTTCTCTGTATTCATGTTCTTTGTTTCTTAGAACATTGTGTTGTGTCAATTTAGGTGGTCCCCACATCTTTGCATCTGTGTCCATGCATTATAGCATGTTAGATGCAAACAATATAACAGCCATGGGCGGAGCTAGAGGGGCAAATCTAGGCCATGGTCCACTCCAAATTTAAAAAATGTTTTAATCTTTAGTTTAAAAATATCCGTGTAATTTTTTTTCCCAAAAATATTCTTTGTACCGGACTATCGACCCAATCCAGCCAAGTAAGGCCCCACCCCTGCCCCATGATAATGGCAAATTTGTAAGTGAAAGCAAATAATTGAGCATTTTCTCTCTAACCAATGCATAAACTAACCTTCTAACCAAGTCAGCAGGAAGATTCTCAAGATCAAAGCGCCAGAAGTTCTTATAAGCAGCAGAGCTAATCTGCATAGCATAACGCCCAGGAGTGAAGCAAGACTCCACAACCCCCTCATTACTGATCAAACTTTGTCGAGCCAAAGCGTTGATTTCCAGTGTGTATCTCATGTGGGGATCAAGAAGCTTATATATTGGGTGCATAGCACTTAGTTGCCTATGAGCTGCCAAAATAAAAACCTCCATAGTCGAATGCGTCCTTAACCTACATACAATTAACCTACATTTTACTCATGCAACTAGTAGAATTTTCACATATATTAAATGTGCAGTTGTAGAGATACTGGATAGTATAACAAAGACACATAAATTAGGAAAAGAATCAGTTCATACCAATGGTGAACAAGTTGATGAACGCTAGCATCGTTAGCCCACACATGAGCCTTGCCAATTTGCCACATCCAAAATGAGGTTGCGTTACCATCCGGGGTGACAACCCTGGACCTTTTACTAGGACCATTTGCAGGGAGGCAAAGCTCGATTGCTATCGGTTTTAAGGTTCCATTATCGGTCAATAACAAAATGGTCCGAGTAGCATAAGTTGCACGTCCATCAAGAGCATTGATACGGTCCACAAATGGCAAATATATGTCATGGTAATCCACAATGTATAACTTGTTTGAGGCCAATGCCTCTTGTACACTCATTCCACTAAGAAAAGGAAGAATGTGTTCTTCTTTGAGGGATGAGTGTAGGGGTCCATACTCAGAAGGATCAAGCTTGCTGACAGGAGGATATGCCTGAAGCCTTTCTATGTGAACAGGGCAGATCCCGGCTAATATTTGTCTCCCGAATTCTTCATCCCGCAGCCATGCCAATTTATCCCCTGCATTTTACGAACAGAAATGAGTTCTTTCTATAATGTTGCTAAAACCAAATGTAATGAAAACAAATGTCCCAAGGATAGTGCACCCATAGAAAATGGTTACTAGCACTAAAGTCATCACATCTTTGTCGTTGAATTTTTTGGAAGACTTTGTCTTTGATTTTAGATCAGTGACAATGGCAGCGCGTGCATAATGGCATCCGCGCAAAGCGAGGGTCCGAGAATAATCCCACCACAATGTGGATAAGGAGCAAGCCTTCCCCACAACAAGGGTAATATATATATATATTAAAATAAAGTTTAATATGAAAATCACTTTTGCTGACACCACGTTTAAGCCAGCATACCCACATTTGGTTCTTCATTTAATTTTTCAACATTTCATGGATGCGAATGAATGTCATACTACAAACACTTGATTCTTTTTCAGCACTCATGCTGATGTGAAATTTGTAGTGTGGTTCTTTTGGTTGTATGACTAAAATAGATTTAAAAAAATAATCAGAGAACATACTATAAAGGAGATATGTGTGCGTTTTAGTTGTAAATAGTAGAAGGACAAAACAAACATAAATAGTGGAATGACATAGCAGACCTGGGTGTAAATAGCATTTGAAAAAAACCATTAAAGAGGGTTGAACTTGAAAATATATATGAGAGTTGTAGAGAAGATATATATGTTACTTTGAAGGATCATGGGAGTGTTGAACTTGAAAATGTCAGCATCCTTAAACTTCATTAGGATTTTAGGCAATGGGAGCTTCTCAAGAACCTCTTCCTTGATACCCAACTTATGAAAGAGGGTATCACCATAAATACTATCAAGATCCTCAAAACCTCCGAAGTCGCCTTTTTTCTCTGAGATTTTCACTTGTAATCCAGGAAGTAAGTTGTGCATAGTTCCTCTCAATCTAGCACTTTGGAAAGCATCACGTTTGGGTGCTTCAAATTGCTCATCCCGGGGAACATACATTTGAGCTGGCTTCTCCAACCGGCTCTCACAACTTGGATCTGATCAAAACAACAAAATTAAAATATAACAAATTAAGCTTTACTCCCTTTGTTCCTGATTTATCTTCCAAACTTCAATTTTTGTCCGTCCCAAACTAATCTTTCATTTTCCTTTTTGGCGCAGAATTTGTTGTTCACAACATTTCTTACACATTCTTACACATTTCTCTCTTTTCAGCACAACTCTCCACCACATAATATCTACTATCTTAATCACCGTGCCAAATGTACTTTGGAAGATAATTTAGGGACGGATGGAGTATCATTTAACAACAAAAACTAACCATCATACTCAGAACAATGTAAGAAAAGTAAGGGATTCCATTCCTTATGATCAACTAATAAAAGGACTAGTGTATTTAGGTATAGCTAAAGTAACTTTAAATAAACCCTGTTTTTAACTTTGCAAGTTTACTATTGGGTAACTTTAATATGATTTGTTTTTGTGTTTCTTACGTGTATCATCTTTTTGCGCTTAAATTCATTAGAACCGTTTGTGTGATTTCTATATGTCAAAAATTTGAAGAGATAGTGACTAATATATGACTATAAAAATATGGATAGTAGATAAAAATATGACTTCACATACACACACACATATATATTGACGATAATAATAACATTTACTCCGTAATAATTATGATTGTATTCAATTCTGGAAAGCAATAACCGCGAATGTACACTCATAATAACTATAATCATGTTTTTGTTAATAAGTTTTATTTCAAAAGTATTTGAGAAAGACCCTCAGTTTAGTAATACTGAATAAAAGTTGTTGATGAAGAATTAAACTTATCATCACATTCATAGGTCACCCTTACCCCATCGTAAGTGGGAGCCTTTGCGGCACTGGGTAACTCCATGCTATAGAAACCATAATTTCATAAGTAATTTGAATATCCAAGGACAACAACTAATGACACCTAATCTATACAAACTGGTTACAAACGGCCATGTTATGCTACTTTGATGTTTTGATATGTGTTTCAATGAGTTAAATGGCAGGATTTATAAGGGAGAAGCGGCTCGTCTGTATAAATGTATTATATTCGTTATATGTTGAAATATGTAAGATATGAAAAAAAAAATGAAGGGTATAATTCAATGCTATTATTGAGAAGTCAAAGATAATTTAGGTATTTTAGCTCAAATGAAGTGTTCAATTTGGGGCCATAGTAGTAATTGATTTGGAATACAAAAGAGAAAGGTAATGCAGGTACCTGTAAAGCAGGGTAAGCGACCAGTGCGACAACGCCGTGGATAAGGAATATTGCCTTCACCGCCAAGTGTGGGACGAACAAAATCAATGCCTTTATCAGGATTCCCCAGATCGTTGTATACATCGAAATCGTAAATCCGGTCATGGAGTTGCCGGACTCCGCTCCCATCTCCCCTCAACTCTCTCAGTTCTTCCTCCCTGAGTGCTTTTAAACCTTCAGGCGTCTCATGAGGCAAGTAAGGCTGACAAGGAAACACATCTAAATCAATCAGGTTTTTTCTAAATAATACAGAGTAATTATTAACAAAAATTATTCACAAAAATGTGTCCATATTATTGTGAATGCATCATAAGAATCAATATAATGTAAACTTGAAAATGATGTTGCTATTATTCGAATCGTAAAGTATGAAAGTTATATTCATTCATTTACTTTCAAATTTACCGATGTAGCCTAATCCTATGACGATTAAATTTAAATAGAAGTCACCTCAACCACAAATATAACTATATAAGAGCACAACAAACTTGATTTTAATTGATTTATTAAGCGACAAGACGAGTTCTGGTAAGAACAAATTTAAGAAGAATATATTATACTAGAGATGATAAAACTAACTCAATAGTAATAAAATAGATACAAATTCATACTTAGTTCAAATCAGGTTATATTTAAATAAACTAATTCGCACAAGAATTGAATGGACCAGAGTAGTCCAAGACAGATTATACCTATTTGGTCAGACTACATCTACAATTTCAAAGTTTTAATTCAAATTAACAATCTACTTGTTAGATTTAAATAGATCTAAGGTGAGCATAACCATTGGATTTGTTTAAATTATGACCAGATGTCCAAATGTAAGTTTGCTTACGATATACTCCTAAAGTATTTGATTGCTATTTAAGTAGTTGATCAGTTTGATTTGTTTAAACTCATTTAAGTTTAATTGCTAATTAAGTAGCTGATTTATTTTTACCTTTGAAAGCAAAACGCCAAATTTATTAATCCAAAAAAACATATGTAGATACAACCAAATAAAAGCTCAAAACTCCACCAAAATTTTTCCAATAGGAACCCACTAGACTCAAGAACTTTACTACAATCAGATTTTGAGACGGTCCTCTCCAAAGAACTAGCGTGAATTGTTAAACACCAAACGGGCAGCATATAGTTCATTTTGCCCATTAAGTAGCGGATCTATTTATGCATAAGACTCTAATTAAATCTATTTATTTATGTTGGAATGTTGGACATTGCCTACCTTGTTGGTGAAGAAAATCCTCTTACATGGATTATCTTTGCTGGACTGGATCCAAGAACTGCAGGGGAAATGGACCGGCCCACGAGAAAAGCCTTCAATGGTAATGGACTCGAGAAAGAACTCTTGTTGATGTGTGTTGAGCAGTGTGATTGCACCAGGCAGCCCAAAGTTAGAGTCCACTTCGAATTCAGCGCTATAGTTCACTCTCTCCGCTTTTGTTCCACTTTTCTCCGCCCAGTCTTTCAAAAACGCAGGATTGCTCTTCTTGGGCCCCTTCGTTTCTACAAACCATCACCCAATTATTCATGAAAAGCCCACTTGGGTAATTAATTAACTGTGAATTAACATCTACCAGCAAGGCAGCTAATCAATTTAGAATCAATTTCTTTTTTTTAAAAATAAAATATTGACTACTTATATTCCATTATAAAATTGAATGAACGATAACCTTATGACAAAATAATTTGATGGGATGAATTATGTTTGTTTTTTTTTGTTTATAAAGCAAAACGAGAATAAAATAGCACGAGTCATTCTCTCCTAGGAAGTTTTATCATTTTAATATAACTTAATAATTCTTCTTTTTGAAATGAAGCACATGTATTCATATGAATATTAAACACGTGTTATTTTAGGAACTTTATCATAACCTTCTTATTTTAAACACGTGTTTCGATGGCATCAATGTGACACTCTAAATGAGGAAATAACATGTTCGAAACTCATTCTAGTTAAGAATTTTGACATTTAACGGAACAAATACTATGAGCAAAAGAAAAAATTCAGCCAAAAAACGCAGTATTAATATTAATAATAAGTACGATAGACTTGAGTTCAGGGGCGTATCTAGTTGCCCCCACTCAACCCCCATCTTACCCCCATTATATATATATATATATATATATATATATATATATATATATATCAAATTTTATTTGTGTATATATATATATATTATTGTCTTATATACAGTATAATAACTCTTAAAGTCCAAAAATGACAAAGTTGGCATACTGGTTGATTGGATAGAGTGCTACATGGTTTGCTCTTTGGTCAGGGGTTCAAATCTTCCCAGCTTTTGACCCTCTTGATCTATTATTTTACCCTATTACAACTGTTTAAAATTTGTCTAAATTTAAGATCCATTTAATTTTTTCTACTAAATGATACCAAGTATGTAATTTTAATAACATCTTTTCACATTTAATATTAAAACTTTTCACACTTAATATTAAAACTTGTTTAATTGTAACTTAAAGCACTTATAGTTACATATTTTATCCAATTCTTTTATATATTTGGTTTTGTACTTGATAAAAAAATTACTTTAAAATAATTTATTGTTTTGTAATTTCAATCACATCTTTTTCTCACATAGAATTAAAACATACTTGTTTATTTGTAACTTAAATTAGTCATAAACTAATAAATAAATATTTCATTTGTTTCTTATAAAAATTTATTTTATTTTAAATAAATTGTGGATTTTTTAATTAATATTTCTTTCCTAAAAATTGTGTGATAATTTTAGTGTAAATTTGCCCCACTGACCGAAATTTCTGGATAAGCCACTCTTGAGTTTGACTAACCAATACTCCGTATGAAACACGAGTGTTAAATAAGATAGGCTTACTAGGATCAATTTCAGTGCTGATGAGTTCCAACACAACATTCCTCCCAAGCTTATCTGCAAAAGCATCAAAACGTTTGAGGAGGGCATCGGAGACGCCCTCATCTGGCTTCTTCTTCACAGTCACCACCGCTCTTGCCTTAAACTTCACCGCTTTCTCCGGCACCATTTTGAACACTCTCTGCTCTACCCTCACCGAAGCCGCCACCACCGCCGGTGCCACCTTCTTCACTCCCTGCCGTGGGAAGCTCCTTCTACGCATTAACGGATCACAGTAGACCGGGTTCATTAAAACCAGCCGGTTCTCCAGACTCATCACGGCGTTCGGTAATTTAGTCGTGCCCAAGAATTCATTTACAAGAGCCATGTTTTTTTACCTTCGTTCCTTAATGCTAATGTGGTTGAATATGATAATTGATATTCCTCAGGGACTTTTTAATATCATCAACAGAAGGTGAAAAGTCTCCTTGCACAAAAAAGAAGGTGAAATGTCAAGCATTAACCCATCTTGTGGGTAAATGAGAATTACGGACTTCGGAGCATGGGAGTGCTTCCCTTTCCAGTACATTGCATTTAATTCAGTGTGGAACTTTAGCATGGATAAAATCGTTGACATACATGTTTGTAATAATTGAAACTAAATTTTCTGATCTAGTATGATCTGCTCTACTTTGGTTTGGGCTCTACTTTGGTTTGGTATTTTAAAGTCTGGTCTGATATGTTATTTACCCGGTATGGTAAATGTCTGGACTTTTGTGTATTTTAATTTATAACTACCGAAATCTGGTCTGATTTGATCTGTTTAAGTCTGATCTAATTTTATTGGTCTAGTCAAGTCTTTGTATATCAAATGTTATTTTCAGGTTATCAGTCTTATCGATACACTAGTTTTTACACGCGCGTTGCGCGATTGGGTAAATGCCCAATATTATTTATGTAGAATAGATTTTTCTAATATTTAGTCGAGATGAGAGTAAAGTAACCAAAGACCATATAATTTGAGAAAGCAGAAAACTTACAAAAACAATACAAATCCCTATTATAGAAACATTCTAAAGTATTCACATATAAATTGCTTAAAGTCATGCTTTGAGTACGCTGAACTCTCATTTTTTTATAAATGAAAGAATTGACACTACCTTGGCCGGTTGGCCCCTAGGGACTAAACCGACAAGATGAAAATTAATGAGTACACTCGACTTTCATTTTTACAAAAATTAATATCAGTGGATTAAAAAGGTTGACTACAAGTGTGGGAATAAACTATAAAGTATAAACATGTTTTTACCTAAACAAAGTCTATAACAATGGATAAATCCATAACAAGTCTATAAAGCAACAAGAAAATATTCAAAATGAAAAGTTTAATGATAAATTTGGAAGACTGGGAGGCGCTTAGTTTTCCTCTTCAATTTTGCCTTTTTCACTGACATAGATACCATCACGGAACTTCCTGATATCCTTCTTCTTGACATGGCATTTCTGGTTAATAAGTGCACATGACCGTGACACAAGCTCAATGCATTACCATCCAAAACCAATTCATCCTTTACTTTCTCACAAGGAAGAACTGTAATCCCATCAAGCATGTCCACCTTTCTAACCTTCTTCTCGCCAAGGAAGTTACGGATCTCAATGGCCTTATTAGCGTTGGTTATAGAGGCGTTAATGGGAAAGTGAGCGTAAACAAAGCGCATCTTGTAGCGGAAGCCCTTGGTAACACCGGTAATGAGGTTGTCGATGTGGCTGAGAGCGGTGCGGATTGCGGCGGTGCTCTTCCGTGACCCAAACCAGGCGTCCACCTTAAGCTTCAGCTTTCCGGTCTCCTCATCTTTAATGAGCTGGAAATCGAGATTTAGGTGCTTGAAGTTCTGGGAGAGCTTGCCTCGAGGACCCTCAACCTCGATTTGCTTTGCGTGCACCTTGATTTTCACCCCTTCCGGGATGTCCATCGTTTCTGAAGAGAGTATAGTCTTCATAGTGTAGCTCCCTCTCCCTCAATCTCTCGCTCTCTATCAGACTCGTGCTGCCAGCCAACTAAACCAATTCTTATTCACATGCATGTATTTCCTCGTAGACTAAGGAGTAAATACCTAGTAAATTTCTAAGATGCGCATGAGCAGTATCTTTTTAAGACCCTTGAGGCCTTGATTACAGGCTCACGGTAGATCTATGATATGCCAACACAAAGACATAATAATAATGCCTAAAATGAAACCTTTAAAAACAAGGGAAAAATAATTGCAACCATTAATGCGTAGAAGGAGCTTCCCACAGCATTAATGTACTCTGCTTCGTATTCAACCATAATGTACTTAGGTTGTCCTGCAAAATTGTCCTGCAGAATCTCCAATATTGATTTGCTTTATTTATAGGCCAGCTATACACTTCGCATTGAAAGGACCACCAAGTTTGAAAAGTCAAAAGTTTAACTTTTGGACTGCATGCAACACTTTATGGAACCCCGTTCCTGCATTCAATGCCTAGATCAACAAAGTAGAGATTCTGGGAAGTGCAAAGTTTTTGAAGTCTAACACTCAACCTACATGAATCAAAGTACATTAACACTCAACCTACACGAACCAAAGTCCATGAACCTACATGAGGAATATCTATTATCATATTCAACGTAACCACATTAGCATTAAGGAACGAAGGTAAAAAAATATGGCTCTTGTAAATGAATCTCCAAAGTGGTATCAGAGCGCAGTGTTCCTAGAGTCACTTTCTGACTAATTTGAACTAAAGATCCAACTCACTTCACTTCCCACAAAACTTTCTTTCAATATGGACAATCAGTTAGCCAAAAATCTCCTGTTCAACTTAAATAAGTTTGATGACTTGAAAATCAAAATGAAAGCACACCACTGAGGACAGGAAGAGAAACAATCTTGACAATATTACCAAAGACATTCTCTTCAAATCTGTAGATGAATCCATATTTCCCAGGATTAGGAAATGTGAAACGGCCAAGGATGTCTGGGATGAGCTCACAAAAATAGGAGCAGGAGATGAACAAGAAAAGGATAACAAGCTCACTTGCCCTTAAGAAGTTTGAGGATTTTAGGATGCTACCAGATGAATCTATCCATGTAATGGAGTCTAGATTTCTAAAAATTGTGGCAGAGGTCTCTGACCTTGGGAAAGAACTCTCTTAGAACGAGATATCCCTTAAGGTTTTGAGAGGTCTGCCCTCAAAGTGAGATATGAAGGTGACTGCTATGAGAGATAGCAGAGATCTCAGAACTCTATCAACTGATAAGCTCTTCAGTGACCTTAAAGCTTATGAGTTTGAAATAAAGGAGATCAAAGAAGAGAAGGAAGAAGAATAAAAGACACTAGCTCTAGTGTCAGAACCAAACTCATCCGGATCAAATGAGAAATCCCTCAACAATCTCCTCACTCATGAGCAGTTTGCTATGTTTGTGAGGAAGTTTAAAAGATTCGTGAAGAAGGAGGGATCTGCTCCAAAGAAGCCATACAACCTGCCCTCCAGAAGACAAGGGAGACCTCAAACCAGTGAGGATACAGTCCTATGCTACAACTGTAGACAACCAGGACATTACAAGAATGAGTGCCCTCTTCTATTGGCACATAAATATCAAGGGCAGAAGGCAACTGCTCAAAAAGCTGGATACAAGAAGGACTTCAAAGGCAAGAGACAAGCCTTTGTAAGTGAGAAGAAGAAGGTAGAATCCCAAACTGATGAAGAGAGCAGCTCAAGTGATGAAAGCTCTTCATCTGAGAGCTCTCAAGAAGCACTACTATGCCTTGGTGCTTGGCAGGTTGCTGGAAATAGCAGCAGGTGGCTCTCTGGAGAAAGCAAAAGGCAGCTAAACAAAAACTCCACAAGTGAGGAAAGCTGCTGACGAGTTATTTTCACAATAATGCTCATCGGGTGTCGGGATATGGAAGTCCCGGATATCGTCTAATGGGACGGTGTATATGTAAAATCAAGTGTGAAATCAATCTAGAAATCAAACATGTAAGCTAGCCAAGTCGAAATATGATTGATTAAAGAGATTAACTAACTTGCAAAGAAAATAGATCACAACTAAACTAGAAGGGAAGCGGGGGCATACAAGCAACAACCTATGATTAAGGATAAGGGTTCAAAATGGGATACTTGAGAATATATCATGCAACAAAGGGATAGGTACAAGTTTCCTTGCCACTCTCATGGTCAAGGGGATACTAAGGGCTCCTATTGGCCATTCTCATGGTCCAATCAAAGAAGAGCAACCAACATTTTTCCCTTACCTTCTCCCATTCTCATGGAGAGGGGTAGTGTGTGTGTGTGAATGTGTCCAAAGGAACCCTACAAGTCTCCTTGAGAGTCCAAACCAACATCTAAGAACATTGTGACCATCAAAGTCTTAGAAATACAAAGAGGCATTTTAACAAATACATTGTGTGCATAATATATTTCTCAAGTTCCCTCAAATCAAACCCCAAAACCAAACACATCACATGGTTGGATGTTCCTCAAACACCCCTAATCCCTAATCCAACTACCCACTCATGCTAGATTTCATATTCATAAAAGAAATATTAGACATAGACATGAAGTGAGATAAATGGATAAGATGGTACAAATATGACAATGATGCAATCTAATGGGTTAAATGAAACTAGATTCAAGATTTGATGCAAATAATATTAAGAAATGAAGTGCAAATGAGTTTAAGGAAGCTTACAACCAAAACTAGGGTTTGCAAGAAGAAAACTCGTCCAAAAACTGTGAAAGTTCGAACAAAGGGTGATATTTATACATATGGGGAAACGGGGGAACGCTGGGTAGGAATGCCTTCCCTTGACGAGGAACGCCGGAGGGAACGCTAGAGGAAACGGCGTTCCTTTTAGGTGTTCCTACCTTTACAAATTAAAACAGGCGGCTTGCGGAGAGTTCGCCGCTGAGAGGAACGCAGAAGGGATGTTGTTCTTGTGGGAACGCTAACAGGAACGTCGTTCCGTGCCAGCGTTCCCACACCTGGGACATTAAATAAAAAATCTAATGGTACAAAACAGGGGGAACGCTGTGGGGAACGTCGTTCCCAATGGCGTTCCTGAGGCTGACTCCCCCGAAACACCTCTGACAACTTCGTTTCTTGCTTCCTTGTGCTCCGCTTGGTCCTCGGGGGTCTTCAAATCATCGATTTATGCTCTCGAGACACTTCAAATTGCTAAGATATCACCCCTACAACGCTCAAATCCATCATGTGGTTCCTACAACCAAAATATTGCACAAGTACAACTAAAAAGGAAGAGTAATATTCAAAAGTTAACAAACAAAGATCAATTTTATGAGAAAGTATTAGGTATTTTCACACCTATCAGCTGCTCACCCAGATGCTTCATGGCAGACGACCACTTCAATGATGTTGAGGTAACATCCTGCTCTTCCTTTAGCTCAAGTGATTCTGGAACCTCTAACATTACACTGAAATCTTTACTACAAGACTTCCAAAAGGTCCAAAATCACCATGTTCTCTTAAGATCAGAAAATGATAGATTAAAACAAGACATTAAGGCTATCCATACTAAGCACTTAGATGCCATAAGCCGAAATAAAGTCTTAGAAGAAGAGAACAAAGAGCTAAAAAACAAAATGAATAACTTCAGCATAGATAGTAAAACCAGTGACCCTACTGTTGAAATTATTCTACATAGGAAGAGAAGAGGTCTCAGTTATTTATATCCCTAGACTCACTCAACACTCCCCATCCACAAGCCACCAAATGAACACAAGAAAGCTAATCTACCAAAAACCCCATTCCCAATATATTCCCAAACAAAAGAACCAGCGAGCTCCCAAATCAAAATCCATATTCATGTACAAACAAACTTTCCCTAACCATCAAAACTCAAGAACCTGTTGGCAACCAATCAATAAGACCAACAACAGCCCAAATATAAAGCAGACCCCTCCAAAATCGAATAATCACTTTCCCATATCCAAAAGGAAAATGATTAATAAATATATAGCCATCCCCCATTAGACTTAAATGGTTCTAGATGGGCCTAGATGCCTAAACTAGTACAAGGGAAGCTTCCCACTAACTTATGGGCTACTGCTCAACACTGATGAATACAGGGAGGTGCTGGAGTAGCTGACTCACAAATATGGTACATAGACTCAGGCTGCTCCAGGCACATGACAGGAGGCAAGAAGCTACTCTCTAACTATGTTGCTGAAGAAGGACCCAAAGTTACATTTGGGAATATGGAAAAGAAAGGAGAAACCAAAGGAGTTGGAGATTTATCAATCAATGGACTCACAATCCAAAACATATATTATGTTAAGGGTTTAAAGTTCAATCTCATAAGCACAAGCCAGCTCTGTGACAATGGATATAATGTGACATTCTCCAAAGACATCTGCTTGATTAAAGATGTAAAAAATGACAAATTGTGATATCTAGTAGAAGAAAGAAGGACATGTATGTTGTTGATTGGAGCTCAGCAAAGGAAGGGATCTGCTTAGTGACAGAGGCAGATTCAAAATTAAGTTGGGACTGACATAACAAACTCAGTCATCTCAACTTCAAAACCATCAACAAACTGTCCAGAAAAGGATTGGTGAAAGGACTTCCAGAAATCAACTTCAAGAAGGACCATTTATGTGATGCATGTCAAAAAAGGGAAGCAAACAAAGGTATCATTCAAATTAAAAGAAGCAGGATCATCAACTAGACCATTAAGCCTACTGCACCTTGACTTGTTTGGACCAGTTGAACCAACAAGCTTAAGTGGCAGAAGGTACACCTTGGTTGTAGTTGATGATTACTCCAGATACACTTGGACCAGTTGAACCAACAAGCTTAAGTGGCAGAAGGTACACCTTGGTTGTAGTTGATGATTACTCCAGATACACTTGGACTCTATTCCTCAAGAAGAAGAATGAGACACAAAGGAAGCTCCCTGAATTGATGAAACTGATCCAAAATGAGAAAAGTCTTTCAATACAGAAGATCAGGTCAGACAGAGGTACTGTATTTCTGAACTCTGTAATAATTCAGTACTGTGAAGAAAATGGAATCCATCACCAAACCTCAGCTGCTAGAACACCTCAACAAAATGCTGTTGCTGAAAGAAGGAACATGACACTTAAGGAGGCTGGAAGAACAATTCTTGAAGCAACAGGACTTCCCAAAAGCTTTTGGGCGGAGGCAATCAATACGGTCTGCTACACCCAGAATAGAAGTCTTATTCACAAGACTTACAAAAAGACTCCATACGAATTGTGGAAGGAAAGGAAGCCAAATGTTAGTCACTTCCATATATTTGGATGCAAATGTTTCATTCTAAACAATGGAAAGGACTATCTCAAGCCTTTTG